ATAGCCGTAAACGATCTCACGAAGTACTTTGATAAAATTAAGAACAGTCTTCATAAAGGTGAAACCCCTAACATCAGGTGAAATCACCATAGCAATGGAGGATGGAAATCAATATATCTTTATAATGAAACATCTTTCCCCTAAACGAACATAATTGCGGTAACCAGGAAAAGAAGCAAGGATCGTATATATATGTATGTTTACGTACGATCAACAAAAATATTTGTACGCAACGACGATACGACGCTTGTTTATATTCGCGGCAAAAATACCTTGGAAAAACTTAATTAATTTGTTAACACATAAGCAAATTTACCTTTTTTCTATCGTAGTCAAAGTCAAAGTATATTTATTCAATATAGGCCTTACTGAAGCTCTTATTGAACGTCAACAAAAGATCTACCACCGGTTCACTAAACTAGACCTGCACAGAGAAGAACCGGCAAGAACCGGTCTTGTTCTTTTTGTTATATATATATTTTTTGATGCAACTATACACTTATTTAGGTATAAAATCAGCAGCAGCCCGGGGTCTTGCAAGTGCAGAGCAAGAGTCATTTCCAAACATAGTTTAACTCTATTATGTCATTTTATCATTAAATCTAAATTTATACATGCATATATTCATTTTATGCGATTTAGGACCACTTCACTCACCAGACGAAACGCAAAAGTATTATACTTCCACTTTACGCCGGTCTTCTGTGAGGTCGTGGTACTTACACGGACAAGCCTACGCATTCGTGCAACAGCCAAGGCTGCTGCGTGGCCCTACCACTGTGAGAAACTATTATGAGCCTTTGTCCATCCTGGATTTAATTTAATGACGCTGCGTTCTTCTTCTTTCTCCTGCCCTTATCCCACACTAGTTGGGGTCGGCACAGCTTCCAATCCTTCCCTTTCTTTTCCTCTATCAGCCGTCATCTCAACACTCACCCCTTTCACAGACATTCTTCACACAGTCGATCCAAATCTGTCTCGGTCTTACTCTAACTTTACACCCTGCAACCACATTCTTACTCATCACTCTTTTAGTCACATGAGTTTCATCCAGGGATGCCAACTTTTGATCCTAAATTTAGGAATAAAAAATGTGGTATGGAAGTTTTTTGGGAGGTAAATTTTTATTGGAATATTTTTTAGGAGTTAAATTTTATTCACATTTTCGAAAAAAAACTACACAAAACTGCTTATTTAAAAAAATAAAATAAAATTTTACAGTGCTTTGCTGCTTTGGACGACGTCAGGCCACGGCCTATGTGGCTGATATGAATATTTTATGTATTCTAATAATTATTTTATTCTAACATATTCATTTCAAATGTATTATAATTCTTGACCATTTTGAATGTAATGGCTTATTTTATGAGATAGTTTAGAAATTTTTGTTTGAATTTAATAATTTAGTCGATGGATGCGGGTGGCAGTCTATGGGGGAGGCCTATGTTCAGCAGTGGACTCAAACAAGCTGAAATGATGATGATTATGATGACGAATAAATTTTAGTGAATTTTCGAATTGCTTTAGGAGTATTATTTTTGAACAGTTGGTAACACTGGTTTCATCCCTTCTCATAATTTGCCCATATCATGTCAACCTACCGCTTCTTATTTTCTCAGTCACTATTGCCACTTTCAAGCTTTCCCTCATATTATCGCTGTGACGCTGCGTTATCCTTCATAATATAGTTTCCGGGCGCTCGCTTAAATACAGTACGTTTTTTAAAGCAATCCGAAATAAAATCCCGACGATATCGATGAAAATTTAACGATGCAATTTTAGTCGTTGATTTAGGACGCGCTCGACACTTATCATTAACATCGTGTGAAAGAGATATACAAATCAAATAATAAAAAAATCGCAGAGCGTTCTGCCAAGGACGTATGGAAGGACCCGTCTTGGCATCTCGCATGACGTCATTTACATTCCGAGCTTATATGGACGTTGGGAGAGTCACATTCTGATTGGCAAACTAGACACAATCACTGTTGCTCGCGGTTAAGTTACATCCTTAAATTGAATGTGTGTAGGAAGTTTCAATCAGAAACATCTGGCTTCGGACTGAAAACAAAAGTAATAATAATAATAAATAATAAATATTTTAGGACACATTTTTACACAACGTTCTCTAGTCCCAAACTAAGCAAAGCTAATATACATACTTAAACATACTGTTCTTTTGTAAATAAATACATATTATACATATAAAACACCCAGACACTTTAAAAACAATATGTTCATCACAAAATATTTTTCCAGTAGTTGGGATCGAACCCACACCCTCTGGCGCAAGAGGCAGGGTCACTACTACCCACGCCAATCGGTTCGTCAAAGCATTGATTGCAACCAAAACATTTGCTTCTGAAGCGTATTTAACAAGTGATTTATGGGAATAGCTTTATTTAAAACTAGCGACTCGCCCAGGTTTCGCACGAGTGAAATGTAGATATTGAATTTTTCGACTTTTCTCTACTATAATATGCATGTATGTATATTACATATAAACCTTCCGCTTGAATCACTCTATCTATTGCTGAAAACCGCATTATCCGCAAATCCATTGCGTGGTTTGAAAGAAACATCGGGAGCGACTTTTTTATACTATGTTAAAATTGCTTAAACGCATGCCAATAAATTTGTTACTTACAATAAAATTGCCGCTTTTATTCAGACATGTTTCATCTGCAGGTACTAAGATGTTTTAATTGAGCTAAATGCTTCTATACCACTGTTGAACATAGCCTCTCCCAATGGACTCTCATCATAGTGGTTTTAGCTTGTGTTAAAATCCTTATATAAATAATGTATTTTCTATGTGATTCCGGGATAATTTATTTTCCTTTGTTGAAAAACATTTAGAAATAGTCTAACGGTTCTAACGGATAAAATTGTTTTTGTTTTTTGATGTTCAACATTTAATTAAATGTTGTTTATCGCTAAATAGTATAAATAAAACAAAGTCGTCTTGCTGTCTGTCTGTACCTATATATGCTTAGATCTTTAGAACTACGCAACGTATTCTGATGCGATTTCTTTAATAGATAGTGATTCAAAAGGAAGGTTTATGTATAATTTATGCATAATATAGTAGAGAATCACGGATAATTTAAAATGTTTCTGAGATGTTCAATACAAACATTCACCCGTGCGAAGCCGGGGCGGGTCACTAGTGGAAAGATATAGTGATTTCTTGGGTCCAAAGTACGTCTAAGCCTACACGTTGTGTTCGGCCCTTCTATTATTATCGGATTGAATATTCTTACATGAAAAGTCATAGCAGTATTGTTACAACTAACTCGCATAACTCATAACATGTCCGTTGCAGGACAGGCGGCAATTAAAACTGAACAAGATGGAATTGCGTTCAGAAATATGTAAATTTTATAATAGCTACTTAATATAAACGCGTCGTCATATCGGTTCAAATATTTGCTTAGCCTAAAATTCGCCTGCCGCCTTCGAGCTGAAGCGATAACAACGCGACCTTGCCAATTCACCGTACGTACACCACAATGCTTAATGCAAATTAGAAATAATTTCAGACAGTATCCAAAGGCGTTAGCAAAATGAATGCTGGCGCATTCATTTTGCTAACGGTCGGTTTCAAGTACGGCTGGCTGCCGAAAGAGAGTTCAATTCTATGTTTAGCCTAAGCAGAAAGAACAACAATAGTAACCTTGTGACAAAAGAAATTTAATGTTTCTTTCCTTTTCACGACAAAGCGCGCTCTTTAACCGAACAGGCTGAAATGATGACGCCAATAACCGAGAAATTATTAAGATGTTACAGATGAATAAGGAAAATATTTCGAAGGGATTTTTATCCTGTCTACTTTATGGATTACAATATGCCTCACGTATTTATGTACGTAAAATGAATCAGTCGGGAGTTTTTATTAGGCACATTTTTCACGAGATACGCACAAATTACGTTTGACAATATTAAGGATGAAACAGGGAGCGTCTATATCCATCTTATATTAAACAGTATAATTTGGAGTGGCCACAACACCTTCCAGCTGTTGCCTCATGTTTTCAACAAATAAATCGCTTTGTTATCATGTGCTATCTTTCAACACGATTTATTCAACTTTCTCTGAAATATTGCTGCAGGTCATAAGTGAACGCAATGGCAGCAGATGCATGATCAGACAGACTTCTTTTCAAGCGTACCAAATCATTTCGAAAGCGCTGAGCAAAATCGGATCGACATAAAAAACTACGGTTCATAGTTTTAAAACAAAAACTGCTGATGTCGATGTTTAGTTTGTGCTGTATTATTACAAAGGGACATAAGCAAAATAAGAAGTTTTTAAAGCTATATTTAAGATGATGATTCTATACGGTCATCTTTCCCACGGGACGAAATGCAAGAACAAGGAGAAACGAATCCCTGAGAGGGCAGGAAATAAAGCCCATCCTCTGATAGTAAACGCAGCTAAAACTGGAAGCGACTATTCACAAAAGTCGAAAGCGTAACAACAGCATAACGTCTGTGTTATTGCACGCATGTCCACATTCGAGGCACTACTTGGGAAGGGTCTATTAATGTGCTGGCTTGGCGTTTACACGAGCGTCTGGAGCGTCTCTGCACTATGATGTTTTGTATAGTCTACGGGTTGAAAACGCGATCATTAATAGTCAAAAAGCATAAGAAAAATTTCTTCTATTTCAAAGTCTTCTGTGACGTGGCCTTGTTTTGACGGTTCACCCATCCAAATGCCGCGTAACAACGCGACAAACTCTTGACCCAAAATCATCATCACCATTTCAGCCTGTTTGAATCCACTGCTGAACATATGCCTCGCACACAGACCAGAGGCGCAACCCGAAACTGCATCCCATTGACTTCCCGCACACTTGCACAGTTCACATCTAGTTGGGGGTTGACTCGACTGCGTGTTTAAAATCCACACTCACCCGGTGCTGTTGTCGGGCAAGTCGTCGTAACTCCATCTAACGGGGGGTTGACTCGACAACCTATAAAAAATGCACACTCACCCGGTGCTGTTGTGGAGCGAGTCGCTCATGTTGATCACATGCTGGTAGAGGAAGTCCACCTTGCGGCCGTAGAGGCAGGCGGAGTGCTGCAGTAGCAGTGCCAGCTCCGCGAAGTTGGGCACCACTGGCGCGTAGCCCTCGTGCGCGGCGCTGCTGGGCCCCGGCTGCTCCCCGGCCTCCAGGGCCCGCAGCCCCGCCTCCGTCAGGTACTCCTCCAACAGCTGACGCGGGCGAACACTCGCATAAAGACAACTTTGCCGGGGCCACGTAACGGCCTCGGCTGCTGCACGAATGGGCAGGTCCGTTCGCGTGAGTGCCGCGAGCTCACGGAATGCCGGCGTCAAGAGGAAGTGTTATACTCCTGCGCTTCGTCTGGTGAGTGAGGCGACCGGGGCGCACTTTATTGTGCGGTGGCAACGCATCTGCAACCTTACGGTTGTTGCGAATGTCGATAGGGTTGGTTATCACTTAACTCAAAAAATATAAAAAAACGTCCGCCAGAGCGCCACAACTTATCTTTTCTGTTACAATAACACCGCCATTTATCTATTTTGAGAGGCAAACACGCAATTGATTGGGAATAGATGGCTTTGTTAGGACATTGCCAGCCAGGCCTTCTTACTTATATCACTACACACTACTTTAGGATAGCATTATCCTGTGTCTTTGCATTATTATATAATCAAATCTAAAATTTATTATCTGTGGGTCATACAGCCACTTATCCCACGCAGGAATGGAATCTAAGATTAGGGACTGCTCCCAACAAACAAAACTTACATGTATCATATAATAAGCTGAGTTAGGCATAGTTGTGTGAAAATTTGTAAAACAGTATCAATAATTAATATGTACCAAACTGTGTAAAATATAATGGCAGTATTAAATTTAATAACAAGAAATGCACAACTTCCTTGCTTCAGTAGAAATTATTTGAACCTGTAAGGATGTAAATTTACCTACTAAAAATATATTTTGTCATTTTTGTATACTACAAAAAATTTAAGGTTTTAAGGATTTTACTGCATATTCTATTTGTTATCTATGTATGTTCTTCTTCTTTCTTTAATAAGTGGCTTCTCTTAAAAGAATTCTGCCAATATCATGTCAGTCAAGGGAGTGACGTTTAGTTCTATCTATCTATGTATGTTATAATATATATCTATGTATGTTAAATTTGACATTTAGAACTATCCATTTGACAGTGTTTTGTGTCACAGCTTAAAATGCTCTATCTATGCCAAAATAATAACTATTAAATAAGTCATTGAATTTTCACACTGCTATGTCATGCAGAGTTACTATAATATCAACTTAGCTTGTTGAATAACAAGTATCAGTGTTTGAAAATTAATAATAAAAAATTCATTGGTGTATTGATTGAAAACCACCAAAAAAGGAAAGAAGAAGAATGCTCTATCTAATGACATATTGCATGCATGAAAAACTTATTAAGCATAAGGGATTATCCAATCCTCGTGTGTTTCGTACATTAAAACTGTAAATTTATCTCTATAGCATTATTTTTTCATGTTTGTGTTATCCTGAATGTGTGACATTCTTTTTTCGGGTAAACATGCTAAAGCAGTAACCTTTATGATTGATGGCTGTGATTCCTCTATGTGTAATGACTAAAAACTTGACATTGCCGGAATTGTGACAACTCACAAAGCAAGCCAAGAAGAAAAAGACGTATTGCATTATTTTATTCACATGACGTTGATTTCAAGATTTTTCCTATAATTTAAATTTTATTGTTTAAATGAAACAAAAACTGCAGTCTCAACTTGCAAGATATTTATATTGTAAAGCTAGAACCAGTTTAATTTCTCAAATTGATATTTTATGCATAGGCAACAACTGAATTCTTATCAATGGAAAGTTAATTATCAAAATTTGCAGTTGCAGACTACAATATATACAATTCTATGTACATATATTGTGGTGTGGCATAGCAAAAGCTTGCAGCGACTTTTGGGAAAATTTAAACCAGTAGTGTTTAATAGAAATAAAAATAGAAATTGGTTATTGCAACTTAAAGTTATCATAAATACTATAGTAATTACAGTATTATATTATGGCAATATATATTCGCTGATCATAATTGGGATTACTCCATCTCAGTTTTAATTTATTTTCCATGTTTATTGGCAACAGGAATTAATTATCATCTGCCTGCAATACAATCAACAGGAAGATAAATCCAGATAATCCAAAATTGAAGTTTTCATAGAAGAAATCTTAAATGATTATGTATGATACTATTATAAGTATGATTTTTAAATCTATTAAATTAAAGCTTCTGAATAAAACATATTCTAATGTTAAAATATATTTTTTTTATAATAATTAGATTGATGCCTAGGATAACTTCTATTAATATTTTTATGTAATTTGTATGTATACTAATATAGTGGTTGCTTGAACCAATATATTTAAGAATTAGAATATAGTTTAATTCAAAGTTTATGACATAAACTAAATAAATAATGCAAAACAGTTGATGTTTAATGTAATCTGTTGTCACAAAAGTACTTTATAACCCACTTAAAAGGTTCTGATTAAGAAAGGTATGTTTGTTATATTCTGTAAGAGCAATTTGGATTCTTGTTTACATTTATACATTTAATATAAATGAACGCTCACCGCGCAAAGATCGGTATCGAAACTACGGCGGACGTCGCTGATGGGCTTCATCAGCTCCGCCACAATTTCTTCCAATCTCTGGGAGTTCATGCTCCACCGTTTTTCTCGTTGAGCTAAGACTTCTTCCCTGTAAACAGTGTGCTTGTTTTGGTAACATCACTTAAACACGCCGCGGACACAATAGCATAAAACTTAAGCCGATGGCGCGAAATTTTCTGTCACCAATGTTAATTCTACTTTAATGGAATTGCGAAATATACATTTTATTAAAAGTCACTTTTATAGAATAACAGCACAAGGATATTACCTCCGACTCTGCATGTAGTCGGCGTCCATTTTAAAAACATAAAATCTTACGATTAGGAAGAACGTAACAACAACGGTGGCCATTTATTTTTGTTTTCATGGGAGACATTCCATGTTCGCTGTCAGAGCGTCGTTAGCGTTCGCTGGTTCGGTGTTCGCTTCTCTTTATTCATACATTATCTGTACCAATACAGGTCTCATAAAAACTTAATAAAAGTAATATGTAAAAAGTATAAAACCTATTACGGATAATTCAAACTTTAATATCTCAATAAATTATAAAATATCGTACAACACATTACAATATTTTGTAAAAATAATTAACGCGATTTTTATGCAATACTTCCATTAGAATATTCAAAATATTGTGTGCAATAGAATAAAACAATGTTATTTTGGTATAATTGGATATAACAAGCCATTTTTGAATTGCATAAGTTAATGGCTAGAGCAGAGGTGAAAAACGGTCGATCGCGAGAGTGGCTAGATCGTCTAATATATCTTATATTTGATAGACGAGTAGACGGTTTATCCGAAAGGCACATTTCGGATTCGAACCTCATATTATTAAATTTGTTGAACGCCTATTAAGTGGTCAAAAAACATTTTCTTCGTCGTGGAATCGGTGCCCCATGGTATATGTGGAACGCTGAATTGCATCTTAATCTAAATACAACATCTCTGTCCATCTTCATTAAAGAAGCGTTGATAAGATACTTTAAAATAATCAGTACCTATTTAAATCTGTTCCTTATAGCTTTCACAATTCAGTGTAATCGTACTCTCTCAAACCGTGCAACCGAGATTACGACGACCTATAACTGTTACATATAGACGATACAATAACGCACAATGAAGAATTTCATTCTCACAGTGACATCTCGAGGCATCAGAGGCCTGAATGAGATAGCGTCCACCGATGTCTTACCGCATCTAAAGTAGTTTTTTTTCACCAGCAAACGAGCAGGAGGCTCACCTGATGGTAAGTGATCACCGCCGCCCATGGACATCTGCAATACCCGAGGGCTTACAAATGCGTTGCCGGCCTTTTAGGAATGAGTACGCTCTCTTTTTGAAGGTTCCCAGGTCGTAACGGTTCGGAAAGACCGCCGGCGGCAGCTGGTTCCACAGAGTGGTTGTGCGAGGCCTGAAATGCCTTGAAAATCGCGCTGTTGTGGAACGCTGGACATTGAGGTGGTGTGGATGAAATTTTTGGTTTTGGCGCGATGTCCGATGGTGAAATTCAGCCGCTGGGATCAATCCAAACAATTCCTCGGAACACTCCCCGTGATAGATGCGGTAGAAGATGCAGAGTGACCCAACATCTCTACGCATAGCCAAAGGATCAAGTTGATCGGAAAGACCTTGATCGTCGATAACCCTAGCTGCCCTACGTTGGATGCGGTCAAATGGAAGAAGCTGGTAACAGGGGGCTCCCAGAGGTGAGAGCAGTACTCCATGTGGGGCCGAATTTGCGTCTTATAAAGGTTTAGGCGTTGAGTCGACGTGAAGTACTGTCTCGCCTTGCTGAGCACACCGAGCTTCTTTGAGGCCAATTTGGCCTTACTTTCCAATTGACCGCGGAACTGGACATTGCTCGAGATTTCGACGCCAAGTATTCCGATACTAGCTGTGACGGACAGGGGAGTGTTCTCAAAATGAGGAGTCACGACAAATGGGGACTTTTTAGCGGTTAACGCGCAAACTTGTATCTTAGCATGCAATACATATAATACGTAACAAACACACATGGCTCAGTCCTCAGCGCACTCGATGGAGAGTGCAAAATACCGGATTTACAACCTTCACACCATACATACCGCTTTTTGATCGCTTATAACGTGTTGTAATTGTTGTTTACAGAGCATTTTACAATTTTATAAATTCATTTTTTTTGGTGATTTAATTTTTCGTAGCCGATCGTTTGACTTTAGTATTTCCCGTGATTAAATAGCGATTTCAACGTTGTTACTTCCTCTGGATAATGACTACTATCCATGGCTGTCCAAGTCAAGGATCGAACCTCGAGCTGAGGGCCCTTTGGATCATGTCGTGATTTATTAGTCTTGTATCTTGTATTAACTGATGTTTTTGCTTTCAGTCCCGAGACTATTTATTAAAGCTTCATCTGACGCAGAAGAGATTTATTAGTAAAATTGTTCTGTTTCGTTAACAGGGGTCGCGGAGATGCAGCACAGTAGACGACATAATCACCATGTCGTTGCACCAGCTACGTTGTGTCTGTGAGACTGCAGGTCATTTATTCACAGGACTCTTCCGACGAAATTGTTAAAACCGCTGGATTAATAGCAACCTGCACTGACAAAAAAATATGAACGCTTATTCTAATCGATAAATACAACAACCTACTCCAGCCCTAAATGTCATAATGTAATAGACAACAGAGTTTAAAGTTACAGATTAAATATAAAGTAAATAAATATATGTTTTCAATTTTCACATTTCATTTATATGTCCTATTTATAGCTGCTGTATTAAAACAACGAAACCTAAACAACATTATTTATTGACATAAATCGTTTGAAAATATCGAGCGAAATATAAATTCGCAGCTTTCTGTTATTTTAGTATAACTCGAGTTAAATTAGATTGAAATGGGTATGTCCCGGTGTTACGCCTTGATGAAATGTTTGCTGATATTCTTCAACATTATTTTCTTGGTAAAGTGTAATTTTGATGTATATAACGAGAATGTTATGTTCTAACTATTAAAATTAGTATAGTATTTCTGAAGATCCTGCATGTTAATGTGTCAAGCTTCTATATAAATGAGTTCATTCTATTAAGAATGAAATCATTAATTTCATGTCATTCTTAACTCTTATAATTAAGTTTACTGTGGTAGGCCAATGCAACAGCTTTGTTGTCCGTTGGGGTAAGTACCAACACCTCACAGAAGACCAGCATGAAGTGAGACTGTGATATTCCTGCGTTTTGTCTGGTGAGTAAGGTAGCCGGGGCAAACTTTATTTAAAGGTGGCAATGCATTTGCACTCTTGTTTTTGGTATTGCGAGCGAAATCTTCAAAAGATACCCTGTCACCTTACTTGACGGCGCTATGTGGGGTTCTTACCCAGTAAAACCCCCCTCTGTGGCCACCTTATTAATGTTTGGAGGGACTCTGTGATCTACAGAATGCACCGGTGACACATCTGCAACTCTATGGTTGTTACAAATGTTAGTGGCTGGCAGTTATCTCTTAACATCAGTAGTGGGAAATGCCCACCTTCACATCTGATTAGGGTTTAAATACCCCTATGTTAAATATAATTGCTGCTAATGTCTGTTGCTAATTAAAGTTGACTTCTCTTTATTGTTTTGACTTCTCATTGTTGCCTATATTACAAAAGCTCCATTTCTAATTAAGATGCTTTGTGTTTATTCAAAAGTAAAGTTCAAAAGTCATAAGAGCAGCTTCTCAACTTAAGCACTTCTGCTTATTTTGAGTTTCAACATATTCAGGTCAGTGCTGCATCTTTGGCATGGCCTAAGGCTCAAAATGTCAAGCCTTTTGTCTGTGTCAAGTTCAGCCTGTGGAAGTCCAGAAGAGGCATGCTTCGAGACTTTGTAACTGGGTCCTAGGTTCAGTTTTTTGGTAGTCTAGCTTAAAGTAGTACAGATTGACTGAAAACTAGCATAAAATTAAAATATTTAAAACAGAACCCATAGACCTTAAAAATTTGGCAATGCATGTGATGGTACCAAAGCCATGGGCAGCGGTATCTCCTAACATACTGTGCACTGCTCACACTTAATTAATAAATGTGTGGCATTGTTTTCAGCTGGTTGGCCTCGGTGCGTGCTCGTTCGCCGGCTGGGCGCTGTGGGAGGGGGCGGGCGGCGGCGGCGCGGGGCGGGCGGGGCTCAGCTGCGTGGCGGCGTGGGGGGCGGTGCTGGCGCTAGGCGCGGCGGGCACCCTGCGCGGCGTGGGGGGCGAGGGGGGCGCGGGCAGCGTTTGCGCGCTGCGCGTGGGCCTGGCGCTCCTGGCGCTCGCGTGCGCGGCGGAGGCTGCGGCGGCGGCCTGGGGCGCCGCGCACGCGCCCCAGCTGAGGCACGCGCTGCGCGACCGCCTCCGGGACACGGTCGCCCACGACTACGGGCTGGTGCACTCGCGCACGCACATGCTGGACGCAATACAACACGGGGTTAGTGCTTTTCTACGTGAGGAGGTGGCGAGCGGGCGGTTCACCTGATGTGCAACACTCGTAGGGCAAATATAATGGGCCCATGCTACCTCACACACCGGATGAAACGCAGAAGTGAAATGCAGAAGTATACCACTTCCACTTCACGCAGGTCTTCTGTGAGGTCGCGGTACTTTTTTTTAATGTGAAAAGTTGTCAGGCGAGCAGGCGGTTCATCTGATTTTAAGTGAATACCGCCGCCCATGGACATGTGCTACACCCGAGGGTTGCAGATGCTTTGACAGCCTTTTGAAAATTGGGCTCCGGCTACCTCACTCACCAGACGCAACGCAGAAGTATAACACTTCCACTTCACGCGGGTCATCTGTGAGGTCACGGTACTTACCCGAACGGACCAGCCTATTCGTGTACCCGAAGAGACCTTTGTCTCCATCTACCCCTAAGCCTTGAAACTACACCACTATGGTATAAGAGATGCCGCACTCAATCTTCTGACATCGTACTTGAGCTATCGTGTTCAGAGAGTTGACGTGAATGGCAAGAGATCTCCCGGGGCCCTGGTAAGTATTGGGGTTCCACAGGGATCTATTCTGGGGCCTTTTCTCTTCCTCATCTACATAAATGACCTGCCCTATCTTGTTAATAATGATCATGAGATAGTATTGTTTGCTGATGATACTTCTTTAATTTTTAAAGTTAAACGACATTCTTTAAATTATGACGATGTTAACAATACTCTCTCCACTTTAGTGCATTGGTTTAGTGCTAATAACTTAATGTTGTATAGTAAAAAAACGAAATGTATTAAATTTACAACTCCCAACGTAAAAAGTGTAAAAACTGATGTACTTTTACATGGGGAAGCGTTAGACCTAATTGACTCGACTGTATTTCTTGGCATAACTTTAGATGCCAAATTGCAGTGGGGCCCATATTAATAGACTGTCGAGTAGACTTAGCTCAGCAGTCTTTGCAGTCAAAAAAATTAGAAAAAATCAGATCAAATTAGAAAGAATCAAATCAGTTGACTGATGTGATTCGTCTGGTATATTTTAGCTATTTCCACAGTATAATGTCTTATGCCATTCTACTTTGGGGAAATGCAGCCGACATAAATACTATTTTCATCCTGCAAAAGAGAGCTATTCGAGCGGTTTATAACCTGGGCCCCAAAGATTCACTAAGAAACCTGTTTAAAGAAATAAAAATATTGACTGTAGCTTCTCAGTACATACTTGTTAATGTTATGTATGTCCACAAAAATAAGAATGACTTTTCAAGATTTAGTAATGTGCATGATGTAAATACTAGGAACAAGCATAAATTAGTTCTACCCTCAACTAGATTGCATAGAATAAGTAAATCTTTTATGGGACAATGTATAAGTTTTTACAACAAAATCCCAGAAAACGTTCAAAATGAATCCGTTGCTAAATTCAAAAAACTTGTAAAGGAACGTTTGTGTGTTAATGGCTTTTATAGTATTAGTGATTATATGAATGATAACACACTCTGGAAATGAATTGATCGCTCCAGGCTCTTTCAAGTGGAGTTTAATAGGAGTTTAATATTTGTAATTTTTTTGGCAAGTAAAAAAAAGAAAATGTCCCGCTGAGTTTCTTACGCCGGTTCTTCTCAGGTCAGTGGCTTGCCTTCCGAACCGGTGGTAGAGTTTTTTGCCTATCAATAAGTAAGTGAATGCTTCTATATTGAATAAAGATATTTGACGTTGACTTTGACTTGGATAGTTGTCTCTATCCATCCTGTCAGAGGAGACGCAGTCGAGTGACGTGCGTGGCTGGTTTCCGCAGCTGCAGTGCTGCGGCGCGGAGAGCGTCCGCGACTGGCAGCAGTCAGCGTGGGCGGGCGGCGAGCGGCGTGCCGCCCTCGACCTCTCGGTCAGCGCGCCCGCCGCCTACTACTGGGTGCCGGCCTCGTGCTGCGCGGTGAGCTTCGCCCGTGGTCCTGTAAGGGGTTCCGTACCCAAAGGGTAGAACGGGACCCTATTAATAGGACTGTCGCCTGTCTGTATCTCATGAACCATGATAGTAGGACTGTTGAAGTGTTTACAGATGATGTATTTCTGTTGCCACTATAAAAACAAATACTAAAAAACAAAATAAAAAAATATTTAAGTGCGGCTCCCATACAACAGTTAAGACTTTTTTTTGCCTATTTTATAGATAATAGTATGGAACCCTTCATGCGCGAGTTTGACTCGCAATTGGCTGTTTTTTTTTTTAATTGTTTCGAATTAACATTTCTAGTTTACAGGACGACCAAAACTTAGGAGTAGGGCTGGGTTGCACGTGTACTGCATTGAGGTGTTCCATACCATTATCTATAAAAAAGGCAAGAAAAGTCACTGTTGTATGGAAGCCTCACTTAAATATCTGTTTTATTCTGTTTTTTTAGTATTTGTTGTTACAGTGGCAACAGAAATACATCGTCTGTAAAGGACAGACAGAGAGAGGAGTCTTAGTAATAGCCGCCCTATTCTCCCCTTGGTTACAGAACGCTAAAAATAAAGAATTGAGTTTGAAGCAATTAACATATGAAAATCTGGACGACCTATGTAAACATGCTTACCTAAATAAATAGCGACGGAAATATAACACTTTGCTCGCAGACCGAGGAGGCGTGGGAGTGCGAGGCGGCGCGGCGCGTAGCGGCCGCCTCGCGCGGCGCCGCCGGCCTCTACGAGGCGGGGTGCGGCGCGCGGGTGCTCGCCGCGCTCGAGAGGGGCGCCCGCGCGCCCCTCGCCGCCGCGGCCGCTCTACTCGCCGCGCACGTGCTCGCCCTCCTGCTCGCACTCGCGCTCGCGGCCAAGCCCCGCCCCCGCGCCGGCTACAAGGCGTAGGTAAACGCTACGACGCGCTACGGGCGTAGATGCTACGAAGCCATTCTGTTTCCTTTCTCCACTTCCACTTGTCAATGAAACTCTTTTTTTTTTCTTTAGAAATTTCTACTCTTTCCGTTTCAATCTCAGGAAGTCTGTACCGTTAATGCATATTTATTGATAATCTGTTATGACAATGTACTCAAAATATGCACCACAAACCAGTTTTATAGTTGACGTTGGCAATCTTTAAAGCGGTATTATATGAAATGTGTTCATATTTATAAAATATTATTATTAAATAGAGATAGCTAAGTTACACTTATGATGGGATAAAATCATTTTTAACACAACCCTTAAGAGGCGTAAAATATCAGTGAACAAATATTATATACAACAACTTTATGTAATACAATATACATATACTAAATAATTACTTAAGCTACCAACACGATTATGAGAGTTTGATAATGTGTTAACCGATCACTACCAAAAACTGTAAACCATAAGACTGTTACGCATTTATTACAGTACAAGGCGAGTTGAATTTCACTCGTGTTCCGAAACATTCCTAACATTACCGACGACGGTAAACTAGCTGTTATTATTATTTAAACAATTGAAATCTCAATACAAACACATCCGACCGCGAAGACTGAATTCATCAAAGCAACCATATCGGACTGAACAAGATATAGTTCATTAAGTTAATAATACGATAATTAAGTAAGGATTACTGACCAATATCAATTTAAATTCGATTCAATAGTGAATGCCTAGATAACTAGGATGAGACTGAAATGAGTAACTACTCGACTAATAAAATTAACATCTAACCCCCGCCTCCCTCCATCGGTTATTATTATTCTAGAAATTCCTATAAAATACAAATATAGTACAAACCTATAGTTTTAATTTTTTTTTATCGAACATCGGTTGACAGTAATTTTTTTTTTATTCAGTATTACACATGTTTTATACCTTGCCTAATACTAATAATCTTAGTTTTTTAAAAGTTTGTTGTTTATGGTCAGTACAAACATTTATTATCTATATCGCTATTTTGTCTCTTATTTTGTTTTTTATTAAGTCATCAACGTAACCAATTTAACGGCGTGCCATAAAATGATATGTTATTATAGAAACGATTTTATTGTCTGTTTTATTTATCGCGTATATTAAGTATAGTATAGCATTTCTAGGTGTAAGATAGGTATAATTTGATATTAGGACCACAATTTTCCGTTAGACGTCTTTCTGGTTAAATAAATAATAACATAAATTGTTATTTTACCAATATACCTATGGTTACATTAACTAAAGTCGCTAGAATAATTTCATAGTCGTTAAATTTTGACATTTATATAAACAGTAAATCTCGAATTACACGCTGTTGAACTGACAACTTGTATGGAAAAGGATGGATCGATTTATATATATTTATCTAACAAATTAACCTACATTAGCATAAAGCACTAAAAGTAAAAATAGTTGTAATATTAAACAAATTCAGCATTAGTTGTTAATTTGAATCAGTCATGCACGCGTAGGCATTTATTACGTTAGAATATAGTGGACGTGCCATTGAAATAACATGTGGTGACTGTTATACGGAGTGCATATTTTAGTGCCCTGATCGTAACAGTTTGAAATGTATATTATGTGTAGCGTATTGAGACTGGTTTTAGTCAATTCGCTATCTAAAATCACCAGTAGTTGCTTCGCGACTATAACCATTTCGTTTTGCACGTGTCCAGCGGTTAGGAATCGTCCATTATTCACTATGTTTTTATAGCATTTTTAACCCCACTTCACCCTCCTCCCTGGTGATACTTGGCTTGGTTTGACAATAACCCCCTACGCAAAATCGCGTGTTAATTTTTTAGGATCAAGTATTTAAAAAAAATATATTATTTTCTTTAAATAACTGTTAGGATAAGCTTATTTAATTCTGTAAAATTAAGGCCCGTGATAAAAATGGCCGGACAAACTTTTTTTCTGCCGGGCGGAGAAATCGCGCGTTCAACGAAAAAATTAAATACACATGATAGCTCACTAAACACCCTTCCCCGTGTGATATTTCTTGATTTTTTTAACCGACTTCAAAAAATGAGGAGGTTTCTCAATTCGACGTCTATCTTTTTATTGTTTTTTATGTGTGTTCGCGGATAACTTCGTCGTAAATGAACCGATTTTGATGATTCTTTTTTTATCGGAAAGGAGATATCCCAAGGGTGGTACCGTGATAAGGAAACCCGGATCTGATGATGGCATCCCAGAGAAATTGAGATCATCATCATTGAATGTTATAGGTATTAACAATGTTTTTAATTTTCTGATCGAAGTCGATTTTTTTTTGTTACAAACTATACTTGTGATGAATGTACTCCTTTAGAGCCTTACATGATTAATGGTCGATCCTTCATGTAAGCTCTGTGTCCATTTGAGTTTCAATTTCATTCCAGATGACTCCGTGGGTCGTAGGTTCGATTCCCACACGGGACAACTATTTGTGCGACCCACTGATAGTTGTTTCGGACCTGGGTGTTTGGTTTGGGTTTCGCACTTTGGTGTGTTCAATGGGAGACTGAAGTCACTCGGAGACTTTACTGACATTGTAGTTATTGTGAACATTTATTGCCAAGACCCGTTTGAAAAACTACGAAACGTTTGCAACGTCTTAGCAATTATGCTAGCAGAGTTTATTGTTGATTTGTGTATTTCTTGTGTTCCGATCTTAACCTTATTGATTTATTAAGCCTTTTCCGCTCGCTTTATTTTACTCGTTCCGCCTGATTTTACCACCATCGAACCAAAGAGCTTTGAGGTCCGTCATGAGACCGCCTGCGTACTTAATTCCGACCCACTGCCTATCTACAATTTATTTTTAAGATATCCTTATGTTTGAGACTGATTTTACACTCTGTTTTTGTCTGCTTATTTTTATTGTTGTTTTACGATTATACGACACTAATGACGGCTTTAGAAATGTACTGTTACAGTAAAGCCGACACCTGCATTTATTAATTATAAATCGTTCAGTGGAATTGAATGGTTTCTTTCAGTCAAACCATTCAATCGTTCACCCCTTGAAATTAGTTTGGTTCCTCGCTATTTTTTTTTGTTTCTGAAATCCGAATACATGTTCATGTTATTTAAGTTTTATGTTTAATTTATTTGCCGATTTTAATATCAAATCGAGAAAACGGGAATAATTTCTGAATCGCACCGTAGATTCGAAGCTAGAGTACAAACAATATAGTCATCGCTTTGACTGAACTAGATAGATATTTTGCACACTGCCACAGAACACTTAATGTATTTTAAGAACATTATACGTAATGATTTCTTGTGTTTACACGAATATTACATTTTGTTAAACAAAATCAATTTACTGAAATTCGCCGTTAATAATTAGCGAATTAATCTATGAAGTAAGAACGTAAAACGTCTCTGTCTGTCCCGTAATTATGGACTCTCTAACGAAAAGTCCGGAATTAAAACTAGACCAGCCAAAATTAAACGCCGGAATATACATCTGAATTAATTTTGTTTAACAATGTATAGTTTACGTGTAAATACTTTCCGTTGACACACTTCTGTGTGGTGCAACGTAATCCAGTGCCTCGATACATCCGAATTTTTGTAGCAACAAAATTATTTAAGACGTGTTAACTAAACTAGTGCTTAAGTGATCCGGAAGCATTTTGGGAGAATTATCAGCTCTGTTGCTAACTTTAAATGGATTTTTTGAACACTCCACCTTTTGGCATGTCCATATTTTGATAACGTATATTCTTAGCGGCGACGTGAGTGGTGTTACAATAATTCGGATGCTTGAATTATTTAAGAAATATAGGTACATGTTAACTGCCCAAGAGGCTACATATTTATTAGGTTTTAGTCGTGTGCTTTTGTAACTTTGTAATAAATTAATACCATATAGTAATAAGGTTAGACAATGTTGTTAGCACCAGCCACCCAACCGTGGCGCGACAGCCTAATCAGAAATTGTAATCATTTCCATGGTAAGAATAACTGGTCGTCTATTTTATATATTATATGTTTGTATCAAAAATTATATATGATAATAATAATAATGTATTATATTTTTATATGTATATGTGTATTTTTATCCATAATATTTATTTTATATACGCAATATATATCTATATGTTTATTTTTTATTTATAAACCCAACCAAACGAGAAAACAAATGAATATCCCCCATAATAATAAACCTCTTTATTTCCACATCAAATTATTTTACATTTTAAATATTTGTTAGTCTTGTTAGTATATTTAGCTTGTTCTTAAATCTAGTGCTAATAGTTACTTATCTTCTTGTGAAGTGGATCCCATTTGGGTTAAGGCCTCCTCTTTCTGTCTCCAGAATCCTCTATCTTTAGCAAGGGTCATCCAATCTTGCCCTATTATTTTAATAATATCATCAGCCCATATATCGTACTAGCTGCTGCCCGCGACTACGTCTGCGTTGAATAGGCTGAAGGCGTAACATTCAGACAGAAAGACGGATATACATAAAATATGTATATAAATTATAGCCTATGTCTTGTTCTGATGTATAAGCTATATTATTGTAAAGCTTCATTAAAATCCATTCAGTAGTATTTGCGTGAAAGAGTTACAAACATCCATCCATACATACAAACTTTCGCCTTTATAATATTAGTAAGGATATATCATCAAAAATTATATTATGAAATTATGAATATTTTTTAATCAATATGCTCCTCTTCAAATATTGTTTTTTATTTTAGCGCAAATGTGAAAGTTTCTGAATTTGTAATTCTAATGAGAATATTGTATTTTATTAGCAGAACTGTTTGCTTTTCATTTCAAAGCATTAGTTTTGTGTTAACTCATATATAATTAACAAATAATATATCCTTCGGCTTTTATTGATACTATAGCAATGTCCCACTTATTCGTAAAAAATATAAATAGTGAACAAACATTACTCTAGTACGATTTAATTTGATTTTTCAAAAAGGAAG